GGTAGGGAGTCAGGAGAGGACAGTGTCAAGAGCTTAGGGCTTATAGCCAAGCCATCTGGGCCCAGTCCTGGCTCTGTTACTTTCCAGTTATGTGACTTAGCCAACCTCTCACTGCCGCTTATTCACTGGGCTATTGTGAGCATTCAATGAAATGATGCATTCAAATGCCTAGCAAAGTGCTAGGCACAGAGAAAGCAAACAATGCCCAGCAACTCTCATGATCATCGTTATTTGAGAAAAGAGGCCATCTTTAATGATCCTGGAACGCCTCTGCTAGTGGAACCAGTGGGCTGCACTAGGCTATCCTCACCATAGTACCATGAATTCTGTCTCTCAATTGACTAGCCTCATATGTGGTAGGAAAGAACTTTGAGAGCTGTGCACAGCAATGTGCCCTCCATTTGTAGACCTGAGATGGGGATTTGCCAGTAACCAAGTAGAAAGACACTGCAGTAGAAAAGCATGACAAAAGAAAGAAATATAATTCAATTATATGGCATAAGGTGAAACAAATGTGAAAGTGGTATATTACCCTACTAAAAGGCAAGGTTTCTCATGTAGGGTCCAACTAAATGCTGTTTGCAAGAATCATGACTAAATCAAGGCAACTTAAAATATTAAAATCTCAGCTGGGTGCCATGGCTCACGCCTGTAATCCCAGCACTTTTGGGAGGCTGAGGCAGGTAGATCACCTGAGGTCAGAAGTTCAAGATCAGCCTGGCCAACATGGTGAAACCCCGTCTCTACCAAAAATATAAAACTTAGCAGCCGTGGCAGCAGGCACCTGTAATCCCAGCTACTTGGGAGGCTGAGGCAGGAGAATTGCTTGAACCTGGGAGGCGGAGGTTGCAGTGAGCCGAGACAGTGCCACTGCACTCCAGCCTGGGCAATAAGAATGAAATTGCAACTCAAAAAAATAAAATAGTAAAATCTAAACTATAGTCAAAAATTTATAAAAGAAACACAAATGAATCAAAACCACAATGAAATATCATCTTGCCTGGCCACAATGGTTATTATTAAAAAGACAAAAAGTACATGCTGGCGAGGATGTGGAGAAAAGGGAACTACACACTGCTGGTGGGCATGTGTGTTAGTACAGCCACTATGGAAAACAGTATAGAGACTGCTCAAAAAACTAAAAAGTTCCAATGTTCGACAGCAGAGTAGGGCGATTATGGTTAACAATATATTGTGTATTTTGAAGTAGCTAAAAGAGATGACTTGAAATGTTCCTGACACACAGAAATGATAAATACTCAAGGAGCTGGATACCCCCCCAAATACCCTGACTTGATTAATATACATTCTATGCATGTAACAAAATACCACGTGTCCCTAAAAACATGTCAATTATGTATCAATACAAATAATGTCTTCACTTAACAAAAAAATGCAAATGAAAAATAAAATAGATGTCACACAATTAATATCAGACAATAGAAGTAAAAGCAAGTAACAAATGGAACCAAGATAGCTTTGTATGGAGTACTTCTCAATGAATCTACAACTGTTATTAACTTCTATATACTAAATATGTAAAGCAGAAACTACGAGAAATACAAGGGAACTGTAACATATATTTCTTCCTGGATAGACCAAGTTGTCAAAATTTCATAATTTGAACATTACAATGAAATTATAAGATTAATTTGAGACATTACACCTTCTTTTCCAACATGCATCATGAAACATTATAAAAACCAATCTTATATTAAGCCATAAAACAAATCTCAAAAATTAGAGACGACAATGTTTTTAAAAACCTAAGCCATTCATAGAAGCATTATTTATAATGGTCAAAGAATGGACACAATTCAAATGTTTATCCAATAAATGAATATTGGGAGGCCAAGGCAAGCAGATTGCTAGAGCTCAGGGGTTTGAGACAAGCCTAGGCAACATGACAAAACCTCATCTCTACAAAAAATAAAAAAAAATGAGCTGGACATGTTGGTGTGTACCTGTAATCCCAGCTACTTGGGGGACTGAGGCTGGAGGATTGCTTGAACCTAGGAGTTCAAGGCTGTAGTGAGCCAAGATCATGTTACTGCACCTCAGCCTAGGCAAAACAGCCAGACCCTGTCTAAAAAAACAGATGGATAAATAAAATGTGGTGCATCTGTGTAATGGAATATTATTTGGCAATAAGAAGGAATGAAGTACTGATCATGCTCTAAAATGGAAGAACCTTGAAAACATGATGCTATGAGAAAGAAGCCAGTCATAAAGACACCATATTTTATGATTCCATTTAGAAGAAATTTCTAGAATAGGAAAACCTGTGAAGACATAAAGTAGATTAATAGTTGCCTAAGGCTGCCTTTATCACTCCATAAAGAAGCCCCACACCCATTAGCAGTCATTATCATTTCCCAGTAGGATGAGGAAATGATAATGACTGTTAGTGGGCATGGGACTTCTTTATGGAGTGATAAAAAAATGCTGTAAAAGTGATTGTGGTGATGGTTTACACAACTGTGAATGTTACTAAAAACCAGTGAATTGTACACTTTAAATGGATTATGTATTAGTTATATGTCTAGAAACTGTTTTAAAAATAAAAACAAAAGCCTAAGCCCTTGAAAATTAAAAAACCACTCTCTTAAATATTTGCAAAAAAGAAAAATTAAAACTATAGAGTATCTAAAGAATATCACTGAGACCATTACACACCAAAACATGTAGGATGCAACAAAAGCAGCAATTAGAGGAAAATTTATAGCCTTAACTGTTTTCTATAAGAAAGTAAAAAATAACATATACACAAATGAACCAATAATTCAATTCTAGTAGTTAACAGAAATGGCAAAACAACTTAAGGAAAATAGGAGAAATAAATTATAAAAGATAAACATGGAAAGTCCACATTTCATCATGTTTAAGATGTCACCTATTATCAGGTGTGTCTTTTTTTAATGTATCACTAAGAAAAACTGCTATCAACTAAACGATGTCACAATGCTTTATTATTAATTGCAAGATGTATCCCAATTTCAGAACTGTTAAAATGTGAAAAGAAAATGCACATCCCTTGATTGATAAAATATAGTAAACTAAAAAGCAGAAAGACAGTGTGACTGAAAACAAATCCAAAATTTAATATTTGGAAAGACCAACAGACAAATCTCTGACAAGGAGGTAAATTTTAAAAAAGAAAGAAAACAAAAAATACAAACTATTAGAAATACTAAAGCAAATATAGCAACATATGTATATGTGGCTTTATTTATATACTTGCATAGCAAATATATATATGGCTATATTTGCTTTAGTATTTAGTGTGTGTGTATATATATACACAGATATGTTCAAATTTATAAGAGAATACTATATCATAAAAAATTAAATAAGGAAAAAACTCTATGTTAATAATATTGAAAATTGGGATCAAATGGACAATTTTCTATTAAACAACAAATTTTCCACTAAAGAACAAATTTTCCAAGTTGGCTTTAAAAGAATTAAAAATTCTAATTAATTTTTAATTAAAAGAATTAGAAACTCAAAATAAAGAATGTTAATGAAAGAAAATTTTAAAGTTGTCAAAAATGTAACTCTAAAAAATTACATGAGATCCCCTGTAAATATCCGGAGTCACTTCTATATAATTTTGGTTTCTCTTGTTATTAAAATTATTTTAGACCATAAACGATCAAAAGATCTTTTTCATAAAATTAGCAAAACCCTGACATCCAAACTACAGGAAGTATTTTTCACCTATCAAATTGGCAAAGACAAAAAAGAAAGAAAGAAAGGAAAAAAAACCATGAAAAAGCATAGTATTCGTAATGTGGGAGAAACAGGCAATTTCATCCCCTTCTGATGAAAATAAAAATTGACACAACATCTCTAGAGTGCATTTTGGAAATACACGTGAAAAGGCACACGTTTTTGCATATGTTTTGAAGCCACGCACAGTCCTAGGAATTTATCACAAGGTAATAACCATAACTACATCTAGAAAGTTTTTGCAATAAGGATATTCATTGAGACATTTTAATAGCAAAAAATGTAGAAACACCTTAAACCAGGGGTTCCCAACTCGCTGTTAGGAACTGGGCCACACAGAAAGAGGGGAATGACAGATTAGCAAGCATTACTGCCTGAGCTCTACCCCATCAGATCAGTGGCAGCATTACATTCTCATAGAACCGCGAACCCTACTGGGAACTGCACATGTGATGGATCTAGGTTGTGTGTGTCTTATCAGAATAATTATCTGGAACAGTTTCATCCTGAAACCATTCTTCCCAACCCACCCTCCATCTTCAGAAAAACTGTCTTCCAGGAAACTGGTCCCTGGTGCCAAAAAGGTTGAGGACTGCTGCCTTAAATGGTCAATATTGGAGAGCAGATTCCAGTCTGACAAATCCATCTGACGGGACTGAGTCATAGTATCGAAAAGTAGGCAACATTTTTAAGATAAAGACACAATTTTTAGGATAGAGGAAACATATATATTTTATATATGCCCAAATGAGTAAGATATGAAGCAAGTATCTTTAGGTGAGATAACAAATGATATTAACTTTTTTCTCTTCCTAATTCCTTGCAATTAACATGCATTATTTGCTAACCAGAAAAATTAATAAGCATTACTATAATTGCATTTGTCCAAATATGAAATATACTAATAATGCCCACTGAACCAGAACAGACGGTTTGTGCCTGACATCCCCTAGTTCAGGAGGATGTGGAGGAAACAGTAAGAGTCTTATCACTGTCACTGTGACCCATCTGGGCTGCAGCCTGGGGAAGCTGGGGGATCACAGTTCTTTTATATAAAAAGCAGAACATCCCTTGTGTTATCACCCTCATCCAGGTTTCCATCCTTGGGAAGTATCAACAGCTTGTTCCAACCCAAGTACCCAACCAATTGCCTCTTTATCTATGGCCCATGTCGCTTCCTGGAAATTTCTCAAGTAGAAACTGTAAAAACAACTTATTTGGCACAGAGGAGTTTTCTTAAAAAATAATAAGCCAATTCAAACTCCTACCTAGATAGGGAATACTTGGAACCATCTTCAGGCTTCGGATATATTCTCGTGTCCGCTTGTAATTATCTTCTTTCGACATCAGGTAGTCCAATTTCTCAAAGGTAGTCTTATCTTTTCGATTCAAAAGCTAGAATGAGAAGAAAATATAGGAAAATAAATAAACCAGAAGCAGCTAAACAGAGTGGATAACTGGAAGACTAAAAGGAAGCATCCTAACTGGCACATCTATGGCGTGCCAAATCCTGGGCAGAACTAAGGATTTTAAAAGGCTGTTTCATGCATATGAGGTAGGAGGCAGGACTCGACTCCAGAGGTGGAGCTTAGATACTGGACCAATTTGAGGAATAGCTAAAGCAGGGAAAAAGCTGCTTCTTATGGAAGCAGCGTTCCATAAGACACGCCCACCAGTGTGCCATGTCAGTCTGCCATTGCCATAGTAACACCTGGGTATTACCACCCCTTTCCATGACAATGACTTGAAAGTTATCGCCCTTTTTCTAGAAATTTCTGCATAATCTGTACCTTTATTTGCATGTAATTAAAAACACATATAAATATGAACTGCCTCTGAGCTGCTACTCTAGGCACAATGCCTATGGGGTAAGCCCCACGCCACAAGGAGCAAAATCTCTGCTGCTGCTGCTGCTGTACACTGCCACTTCAATAAAAGCTGTTGTCTAACCCAACCAGCTCGCCCTTGAATCTTCTTCTGGGCAAAGCCAAGTACCCTCCAGGGCTAAGCACCAATTTTGGGGTTTGCCTGCCCTGCATCACAGAGGTGGAAAGGTTCAATCTTGTCATTTTCACAGAATCTCACACTTGGAGGCTAACCCCCAAAGCTACCTAGCCCACTGTTCTATATGATGTCAGAATCCCCCACATGACAGAAACCTTGTGGGTGCAAAGAGCCTCCAACAGCAAGGTACTGAGGTAGAAAAGCGAACTGCTCAGAGTCACCTGAAGAGTTATTTCACAGCTACACCAGGTCTCTTTCCCTGCATCCACAGCTGTTTCCTCTTTCCTCACCATCTCCATGGCTAAAAACCCCAGTAAGTTGCACACAATTAACAAGTCCATGTCGTACACACAGCCAAGCCATCACTCAAATCCAGGCTATATCCTCCACATCCCCCACAGCCCAACTGTGTCATATTTACACTGGGTATAGTAATTTTAATCAAAAGAAGACAATCTTCTTTTCCATATGCAGTCATCGAAGGGGCAGCTTAGTTAAGTTAATACAGGATGAGCAGGTATCCAGAGTCAGAGGTTAGAGAAGCAAGATCCATTGTGACTACGATCTCTGGTATGTAAAGCTGGTCACCAGGGAAACAGTGGCTCAGTGTGCATCTGGACCCTTCTCAAAAGAAAGTAACAGAAATCAGAACTCCTGGTTTTCAAGACTTTATGGTAAGGACTCAGGCTGTGGTCAGCCTGAAATTCCCAAGTCAAGGCTTAGTGCCAGAAAATGGCAACGGGGCTAACTAAACACAACAGCTTTAAGGAAAGGAGTCTAGGCAGAAAGATCAGGTTTAAAAGGAGGAGTTGGGGGAGGGGTGGCTGAGGCACAGCATGAGGCTGATGCTGGCAGCACCCCTGAGTCTAGCTGCCAGGGCCCAGTGCTTCTGGGATTGGAGGTCAATGGCTAAGTCCAAGAAGGGGAATAAACAGAAGCTCCAGGGTTGGAGTGCCCTTGGCCAAGGTGTTCAGACCTCAATGGTCTGTACAAGGACTAGAACGAGAGACCTACCATGTCCATCAGATTGATGTAGGCCAGTGTTCAAAAGCCCCATCATGCAATGGAGAGGAGTGGGACAATGACTGCCCAGCACCTGGGGAAGCCTCTCCTTACCGAAGTTCGTAAGCTTCAAAGTGCAGTTCCTGAGACCTGGGTCTGCAAATTCCAAACTCAGGCCAGGTCTGATGCATTAGAGAGCCCTAGGCTGCTTTGGGCTGGCCCTACCTGGTTCCTTCATCTTCAGCCTCTGGGGCCACAGAGGATGCAGCCATGAGACAGCCCACTTGCACAGAAGCAGTGATAGCTTACGAACTTTGATAAGAATAAGCCGAAAGGAAGGTTCTGGTGCTGAAGAAGTTGAAGAATAATAGTGAACTTTTCTCACTAGGGAATTCAGGACATATCAGTGTGGGGATGCTACACAGATGATCAGGACAATGGCTGCTTAACTGGTTTGCTAAAATGGACAGGGGAAAACACCATCTGCCACTTGCTGTTTGTAAAACACTGTAATATATAACTCATCTAATCTTCACAAAGCCCAGTGGTAAAAATGGAGCAAGGACTTTTACCTCCATTTCTAGTTCATAATCACAAGTATTAAGTAACTTTTCCAAATATCTTTGGGGAACTTGACTGAACAGAGGAGAGAGATATAGTATAGCAATGCGGTAAGTAAACAGAGACCGATAACCCAGACAAATAATAAATAAGCTCTGAGGCAGGAAGACTGCTTAAGCCCAGGAGATGGAGGCTACGGTGAGTCTTGATTGTACCACTGTACTCCAGCCTGGGTGACAGAGTGAGACCCTGTTTCTAAAATAATTATTATTACAAATGAATTGTGGGAAAAGGAAGTGTCAAGGAAAGCTATATAAAGAGGCAGTATTTGAAATGAACACTTACGGATGAGAAATTTGCCAAATGAACAATATATACTCGGACCAGAACCAGGTATCTACTTGAAAACAGCTCCATTGTAATTTGTTTTGTTTTCGTGGAAACGGAGTCGTACTCTATTGCCCAGGCTGGAGTGGAGTGGTGCAATCTCACTCACTGCAACCCTGACTCCTGGGTTCAAGAGATTATCCTGCCTCAGCCTCCCAAGTAGCTAGGATTATAGGCATGTGCCACCACACCCAGCTAATTTGTGTGTGTGTGTGTGTGTGTGTGTGTGTGTGTGTGTGTGTGTGTGTTTTGTTTGTTTGAGACGGAGGCTTGCTCTGTCGCCAGCCTGGAGTGCAGCAGTGCCATCTCAGCTCACTGCAATCTCCAACTCCCTGGTTCAAGTGATTCTTCTGCCTCAGCCTCCTGAGTAGCTGGGATTACAGGCACACACCACCACGCCCAGCTAATTTTTTTTCATTTGTATTTTTAGTAGAGATGAGGTTTCACCATGTTGGCCAGGATGGTCTTTATCTCTTGACCTTGTGATCCACCCACCTCAGCCTCCCAAAGTGCTGGGATTACAGGCATGAGCCACTGTACCCAGCCTAATTTTTGTATTTTCAGTATGGCTGGGGTTTTGCCATGTTGGCCAGGCTTGTCTCGAACTCCTGACCTCAGGTGATCTGTCCACCTTGGCCTCCCAAAGTGTTGGGATTACAGGTATGAGCCACCATGCCTGGCCAAAGAACTGCTTCATTGTTAAGCAGGCACTCACTTCCCTTATTCAGGTGGTCATTTTTAAATTAATGCAACCTAGAACCCCTTCTTTGGTAATGCCAGCCATCAAACAAATTTGGATGTCCTCCTCACACACACTGTGGCTGAGCCATGCTGGCTCCCAGTGTTCAGGCCACTGGTTCTCTGGTCTCAGTTAGGGGACTTCCCATGCCAGCTTACCTGCCCAGACTGTCAAGTTCCTGTATGGACAGCACCTCAGAGGTGATCAGCCTATTTTCTATGCCTCATCCCCCACTTGGCCCACACAGTCATATACACATTCAGAAGGGTTAAATCTGGTTAACTTTACACATCTGCTCCCTTTTGTGCCTACAAATGAGATTCGGACAGTATCAGATTTTTCAAGAATAGTGCATAGGTCACTAGAAGATATTAAAAAAACCCAAAACATGTATTTCCCATTATGTATTTGAAAACTGAGAATTTCCTCTAGAAAAATGAAGGAATAAGCCAAGAATAGTAAGAGATGGGAAACAGGAAATTGTAGATCCAATCCACGAGTAGGAAAGGGAGATTCTGGGATGACCAATGAACAGCAGGCCTTAAGAACAACTGGTCCACATTGGATCAGCGTGGAAGAGATGTCTCCATAGAAAAAGAAGGCTTGATAGAAAACCTGACATAATGGCACATGGAGGGGAAGAGATAGACATATTTATTATATCCAATAAAAAATAAACATAAAATAATGTTAGGATTCCTTAGATATCTGGTAGATAGGATAAGAAAAAAAGGTTTTTTTAAGGCAACTAGAAATTCCAGAAAAAATGGGTAGGCATAGTAAGCTAACACCTGTAATTTCACTACTTTGGGAGACCAGGAGTTTGATACTAGCCTGGGCAAAATAGCAAGATGCCATCTCTAAAAAAAATGTTTGTTAATTAGCTGGGCATGGTGGTGCACACTTGTAGTCCCAGCTATTCGGGAGGCTGTGGCCAGAGGATTGCGTGAGCCCAGGAGGTTCAAGGTTGCAGTGAGCTAAGAGCTATCACCTTCCAGCTTGGGCAACAGAAAGATCCTGTGAAAGAAAAACAGAAAAGACAGAAAAGCAGAAGAAAAGCAAGAGGAAGAAGGAAGAAAGGAAGAAAGGGAGAGAGGGAGGAAGGGCGGGAGAGGGAGAGAGGAAAGGAGAGAGGGAGGGGAAGAGAGAGAGAGAGAACGAGCGAGCGCGAGCGCTCAATCCAGGGAAATGACAAAATATTCAAGGAAGGACATGCTATTTATAGTTCACTGCTTGACTATATAGTGAGGCATATTTACTCATTCCTAATCATTAAAACACCAAATAGTCATTCAACAAAAGTGATTTTAGTGTAATGATGAATGTGTTTGAGGAACAAGGGAAGGTGGTTCAGGAAAACTAAACCAGCATCTACCACACAAAGAAGTCACCAGATGCTGTCTAAAGCAGATGGGTCAAGAAACTGTAGCAAAGCACATTGGTAAATACATGGCAGAAACTATGAGAAGAAGCCACTAAACTGAAAGTGGTTGCCTCTAGGGAATAACTGGGGTATGGAGAGAGAAGTGACCAGTGTTAGTTGTTTCACTAAACCTTTCAGTACTTAGTGATTTATAAAATTCATGTGCATGTAATGTTGATTAAAAAAAAATTTAGGTTTAGTTTTTTTAAATACAGGGCTTGTTTACTCAGAAAATAACAGCATTTACTCACACATTTTACATTTTCATTATAAGAACCA